TCAGCAAGGTACTGCACACACATTACTGACAAAACAACCCGTTCATTTGTGTGTTACAGTACGGGTTCATTCACTGTGTGCTGGGGGACATGGTGGTCCGCGGATTCGGAGAGTCTACATGGCAGCGTATTGTGTAAGTATCGCCTGCACTGCTTTTTTACTTGACACTACTGGAAAATAACTGGCTATCATGAGGTCATAGCCTTTCCTGTAGCAAAATACAGCAATTATTCACGTACAAAATGTGTGAATTGAATTTCTTTATACGAGCCATAGCAACATCGAATACTGATAAAATAATAAATGGTCATACCTCGTACTAGATACAAAATGGACTAAATACACAACACAATTTCTATGCATTCGTAAACCACGAGTTCCTATACTGGCGGCCTAGTCTTAGATGACATTGTGTTACTCTGTTGTGGGTGTTGCGTGGTCTGTTTACGATACAATAAACATGTAGTTTTGCTTTCCTGCGCCTGAAAACTACCCCATCACAATTGTTATCTTTGCGGCACACGTTTCGACGTTAACACCTCACCAAAGCCCGAACATGCCGTCAGCCCAGCAGCTATGTATAAAATGGCTTTACTCCAATAAACACTGAGCACAGCTGAGAATATTATGAGCTATAGTTGCATCTTAAAGACACAGTTGACTACAAAGCTGTTCATCAATATTAGTCTATGGCTAGTGGCAGAAATAAAGTGTAGGAGTTTCAGGCATACATGCATATGGCGCTATTTTCGAGCTTGTTCGGGAGAGCTGTATAGCTACGAGAAGGCCTTAACTCCATCCGCTGTATATATAACTCCCTCTGTCGTATTAGAGAACCCCAGCCCATGCAAAAATCACGTAAAGGCGCCCCCTCAAAAACCTACGACGACGATGCAAGAAGTCTGCGAACGAGGCTAGCCATTTTCGAAGCAGCATGTTAATATTAAGTTAGTTTCAAAAACAACGTAGGTTCCTTCTTTCATTGCGTCTTCCGTCATTACTCCGTGAAGGAGGTCAGGACCTCCGGACGGAGTGTTGTAATCGGCTGATTTTTCATGTTCGCAGTCAAAACACTGGGTTCTCTTTGTGTAATCTGCACGCAATTTTATACGCCGTCTGCGGGCATGCCCGTGTTGATGCACGAATGTGTATTTTTGCCGTTGCTGCTTTCGCGGTCAATGTAATATTGCAGACGCACCCCTACAATTACGAGGCGAATTGGAATGGTCCAGAAAAACGCGTTGTTTGGAATAGCAGTGGGGTTCAAAAAAGTTCATGCAGATACGGGGTGGTTTTTATAAGTGGTTCCAGATGTTTTTGCCCATGGTTAAGAGATGCCAAGTTTTTTGGAAGATGTTCGCAGCCAAAACGCATTCTTCCGTACGTCGCATTTCTGTGTAATTTCGCATGTGGTGTTGCATTATGTCCGGGATGATGCACGTCTTTTTATTTTTACCGTAGCTGTTTTGATATTGGAGTAAATGCTTATTTTCGAAACATCCCCATTTCTTTGAAATGGTTTCGTCCGTTTATGCAACTGTTACTGCGCTAATGACGACCAGTCGCGCTGTCCTGATACACCGCGAATGTGCGAGTGTTCCCTGTAGACAGTCCCGGGAGTCATTTTTTTGCACATTCCAGGAGCCAAACCAAAATACGTTCATGAACCGAGTCCAAAAAACCGAAACGTGAAAATCGGATGATCGGACCTGATGTACATTTCTCTTTCTATAGATTGTACACACAATACACACATCTTTAGATAATCTGGCCATGGCAGGTTAAAAAAAAGTAACCCTGAATCATACTAGGTTAGCGTAAATGCATGTTAATGCGTTCAAAACAAGAAAAAAATTGTTTCCGGGTATTAATCTCTTGAATCACGGCGCTGAATATTGACGCAAAAATATTTCGGGCATCGCGCGCCCTTCCCGCGTCACGTGTAGGCATCTCGCATCTCTGATTGGTTGTTGCGTCTTAAGATGACTGAGCCGACGCGCGTTTAAACAATTTTTCTTTGTTCGATTTATCACACTTCACAGAGAATTGTCGCCAATGGCTACTTCTTTTTGTTGCAATATATAATACTTCACGGAGAATTGTCGCCTATGGCTTCTTGTTGTTTTTCATCCAAGTAAACCTTACGTCGATTCAAGACGCAACTGAATCTTAAGAAGTTCATCTTAAATTCTCGTGCGCACCAGGTTGACCTTAAGGACCCCAGGTGCGTCTGAGGTATTAAGGTTGATGGTAGTACAAGGTCAAATCGGCCCTTAAGAGCACCGGCTACTCAAAGAACGTGGCGTATTCACTCATGCTTTTAAGAAAGAAAACACCTTCTTGTGGAGGATTAAGAAGATCAGCCAGGCTGTCTCTTTCTTTACTTGCTGTAAATCAAGAGCGTATGTCCTTGGGTTTAAGATGTTAGAATAAATGTGAATTTAAACTGCTGAGATACATACATCATCAGATCTGGAGATACCAGCGCCACTGTCGTTCGTGTCTTAAACTTAACGTTACAGCTGAAATGTATCCAGTATGTATGCAAGATTTTAACGTACACGCAACTGGTTATATAATTTTATAAATATACATATACGTATCCAGTTGCGTGTGTTCAGTATTCAAACCACCACACTACTGGTACGCTAAACCTGCCAAGTTCATTCATTGGCTTTCTTAGATCTTAAAAAATCTAACACTTTGGACAGTAGCCAATGCCAATGTACATCCAAAGTATCCAAAGGGCTTTCAAGCAATTTGGGTGTTGAAGATCCCATTAAAAAGCTATTAGACATGAACACAAGTGCGAGCCTATCTTTATAGTTTCCGCTCGCTACAGTCAAGGGTTGTTAAGGATGACTACATTACACTCAGATTCAGTATCAAGTTCAAACGGATCGGACGCACTCTGCAATTTACTCAAAATAGGAGTGACCTCGCAGAGTGCGATCTGAATGTAATGTAAGGGTAGGAGAGTTGCCTGGCTATGCCACCTTGATACTTGGTGAAGCCATAGTATATTGTTATATATACAATCGACAGAAAGCTGCATGACCACCTTTTGATATATCCATTCGTTTGTTCGTAAAATTGCCACCTTTGCACAAAAACATTTTTTGTACTTTATATCGCAAATACAGCTATAATCACGTCCAATGACCTCGGGAGAAAATTTACCGCATTCAGTTTATGTAAGCCTGACACAAACCCCGTGATTAGATTAGTTCTAAGGTATGCCGCAGAATACCGTAGGTTAAACACTGTTATTTACCGGGTTTGCTGATTCAGTACCAGGTAATTGCGTGATGACGTAGGTAGGTAACCCTTTTAAGACGAGGCAGTCCCCGGAAGTAATCGCATCATTCGTGGTTTACGCTTTTCCCTCCATCACAACAGACTTTTCATGATCGAACTCGTCGAACTCCCTGTTCTATAGAACAGGTCGAACTCCCTGTTCTATAGAACAGTGGGCGGTGCCTATGGTGTTCGAACACGTCGAACTCCCTGTTCCATAGAACAGTGGGCGGTGCCTATGGTGTTCGAACACGTCGAACTCCCTGTTCTATAGAACAGTGGGCGGTGCCTATGGTGTTCGAACACGTCGAACTCCCTGTTCTATAGAACAGGGGTGGGGGTGTCTCGAACACGTCTAGTAGTTTTCGATGCATAGCCATATATTCCGTCACATAGCATGCATGTTCTTCCTTTCAGAGCGAACTCTGGGATCGAGCTGGGAGGCGGGACGTTCCTGATGCACAAGGTGTACAGCGATGACGACACCTGGAGACTGCTGAACGCCATTTCTGAGCAGCTGGGTACGGAACTTTCCCTCTTACTTCCGGGACGAAAATTTTATTTTGGGCTACCAACCATGGTATGGGGAAGGAAGGCCTGGAGGCTATGGTCAGCTATGGTCTGTGTCTGTCAAAAAAGCCCACACAAGAATTATCATCTACGCAAACTTGACTATACCATTAGCACAGTTGGTGTTAGAAGTTCTGGGGAAGTTATGATTTGAGTGTCACTTAAAACTTTTACAGAGTCACTCATCTTTTAGGAGTTCTATGAACCTCCCACTCACACATTAGTCAATGTGGTTTCCTTATATTCTACAAAGTGGCGATAAGCTTTTAGTGGTGTTTAAAGTGAACTTCGTACAACGCTTTAGAACAAGTTCAACCTTACTGACGTCATTGGAGACCGTTAATGATGAGCCTTTCAAAATGAAAGCTACGCCTGGCAGGGCTATCAAACGCATGGTCTGTCATCATGAAGCCTACACTTGGCAGTTAACACGCCTATTTAGATTAAGTGATAACAAGAGGATTACCTCTTAACAGAAACTGAGAGGTGATAATAGCCTTCCAACGTTGAACAGAGGACATTAACCCTGACGCCATCTTCTTTTTCATAATGCCATCCCCTGGTGCTCTGGAAACCATTCCTAAGAGAGCACACATAAAAGTATATAGTACTAGAAAGATAGCGTTTGTAAAGCAAATGCAGAATATTAACCTTCACATGGTCTAGCCTAAAAAACTATTGCTATCACTCAAACGCATTCATGTATATGGTGACCAGCCCCAAAACTCTGGACTGCTACATAATGAAACCCAACACCACAGGGTGTCTGCTACAGCACCGGTTACGATGGTGATAGACGTCTGGTCCAGGTCACTGACTTTATTTGTTTAGAACGGAAGGAGAAGGAGCAAAAACAATGTTTCCCTTCTGCGAAGATAGACATAATGATCATAATGAAGTATCTGGTTCCGTCCGCCATGTTGAATCTCGTCTTTTCTCGCGTTACAGATATCTCGCGAGAATCCGTGTTAGAGTCCATGGGAGAACACTTCGTCCGTTACTGCATAGAGTACGGCTTCGGCAGCCTGCTCAGGGTCCTGGGTGGGAGTCTGAAGGACTTCCTGTGTAATCTGGACAGCTTGCACGAGCACCTGGCCAGCACGTATCCGGGCATCCGCTCACCGTCTTTCTGTTGCACCGAGGGACCTGACGACACCCTTTTTCTACACTACTACAGCGAAAGAGCTGGTAAGTCGTCTTAAAAGAGTTGGCGCAATGATAGCGTCAAGTTCTAGATTGGACAGCAAACATGGATGTACATGCCTCTGTTTTGTATGAAATGATTATTGAAAATTGTTATAATGATCCTTCAAATTCCGATGTAGCTATACATGTGGTTAGTCTATATACAAAAATACACAGTTTCTAATGATCGGTGGATATTCACTTCCGGGACGGTTTTGAGCGGCGCTAATCTATTGGAAGTTTGTATGTTTGGGTTCCAAAGTAAGTGGGTGGAGATTTGGTTTCATTTGATTGACAGGGATTTGCCCCGGTATGCCCTGGGTTCAAGGATGTGGTCGTCAGGAATGTACGAACCATGATGTAATAGCCGAGTTGGTCTCAACATACAAGTAATAATGGATTCTATTGCACAATCCATTAACGCAAATTATCTCTAACGTTACTTCTCGGAAGTTTGAAATTTCACATTTATTTATTTATTTTTTTCTGCATCTAGGGCTCTATCCAATCGTGAAAGGTCTAGTGCGCATGATCGCTAAGGAGTTCTTCCACGTCAGCGTCGCCTGTGACGTCGTTTCCGAGGAGCGCGAGCTGACGTCACGCCAGGGGCAGGTCGTGACGTTTTCCATACGTCATCTCAGCTGCGACGGTGGGCATCCTGGGGACGAGAAGCGGCTGAGTAGTGGGACGATCTGTCCCACCACCAGCAGTGACCCTCACGATCTTCCTCTCAGCGTGGACACCCTCAGTGATATCTTTCCCTTTCACGTCATGCTGGACAGGAATCTTAAAGTCGTACAGATGGGACGGAGCCTTCGGAGGTTGTTAAGGGGCAACGTTACGTCGACAGAGCTGAAATTTCAGGACATCTTTGAAATCATCCGTCCGAAGGTAGACTCTCTCTTCAGCGCTATCGTGCGGCATCTGAACACCATCTATGTCGTGAGAACGGCACAAGGAATCATCAGCAAGGAGAAGAATTGTGCAATTCAAGTTATTGAAGGAGCTAGCAGTTCTGGTGACGTAGACCTAGAGGAATCGACTCTGAAGCTGAAGGGAGAGATGGTGTTCGTTCCGGAATCGGACATGCTCCTGTTTCTGTGCTCTCCTCGAGTGAAAGACCTGTCAGAGTTTTTGAGGAAGGGTCTGTACTTCAGCGACACGCCGCTGCACGACTCAAGCAGGGACGTACTCATGGTTAACTATCTGCGTAGGCGCGAGAGGGACCTGCTGGATAAGATTGAGGACGTCGGGAACCAACTGCGCAAGCTCCAGGGCAGCCTGAGCGAGGACAAGCGTCGCACGGAAGAACTGCTACACTCAATACTACCTTCAAATGTGGTAAGAACCAACCCTATACATGTAATACAGCTGTCTACTTCTGTCATCTTAACTTTCATATGCCAGGGCGCAAAATAATAATGAAAGGTCTGATTGCTTCACAAGTAGGTTGATCAGAAATTCATCATACGTAGCATTATTTTAAAAATAAGGACTTTTGAATAGTAGTAGTTCAGCACCGGGAACAGTGTTTGATGGTACTTCAGTACCAGGGACAGTGCGTGATGGTAGTTGGGCAAAGTGCGTTATCATGTTTACCTTCACAGAAGGAAACATATGGCTCTGTTTCTTCTTCTCCGAAAACATAAGGTCAATGGCCTGGACCAGACTCACTGTCCTGTCACCATGGTAACTGTTGCTGTAGAAGACACCCTATGGTGTTGGATTATATCATGTAGCAAGTGGCAGGACAGAGTTGGAGGGCTGGTCACATCCAGTATATATGAATATGTATGAGTAAGAATGAACAGAGCAATAGTTTGTTGGGATCTTAAATGTGCTCAAGGTTTTGTTCTTCTTTTAAAAACACGGGACCCCAGCTAATGTCAATGTTACACTACTACTTGAAATAGGTACAGAGCCTAGTGTCCAGCAGTCCTGTGGAGGCCAAAGCCCATCCTGTTCTCGGACATCGTTAACATTATGTAGCAAGTAGCAGGACACAGTTGGAGGGCCTGGTCACCATATACATATGTGTTTGAGTGAGAGTAAACAAAGCAGTACTTTGTTGGGCTAAACCATGTGGAGGTTAACATTGTGCAGTATAGAATAATACTTAACATCCTAATTACTGAATATCCCATTAGGTACAGAGCCTAGTGTCGAGAAGTCCGGTGGAGGCCGAAGCCCACCCTGTCGTGTCCATCCTCTTTTCGGACATCGTAATCGTAAACATTATGTAGCAAGTAGCAGGGCAGTTGGAGGGGATGGTCACCATATACATGTTACATATGTTAAGAGTTCAAACTTTCGATCCAACACAAAACATTCTCTCACCTAGAGCTTTCGACCAGTCACTCTGGTCTTCCGCAGTAGACTGACCCAGTGAGGCTTGTCACGTGTCTTCTTTGAAGTGTGACGTCAACACCGGGTCAAAGGTATCTGGTAGACGATGTCGACCCCCGTCGCAGTTCAGTGAAGAGTGATGGGCCCTGATGTATATAGCCTCCTTCACCCCTCTCAGGAAATATGTGTGTTTGAGTGAGAGTAAATAGAGCAGTACTTTGTAGGGCTAAACCATGTGGAGGTCAACATTTCGCAGTATAGAATAATACTTAACATCCTAATTACTGAATAACCCATTAGGTGCAGAGCCTAGTGTCCAGAAGTCCAGTGGAGGCCGAAGCCCACCCTGTCGTGTCCATCCTTTTTTCGGACATCGTAATCGTAAACATTATGTAGCAAGTAGCAGGGCAGTTGGAGGGGCTGGTCACCATATACATATGTGTTTGAGTGAGAGTAAACAGAGCAGTACTTTGTAGGGCTAAACCATGTGGAGGTTAACATTATGCAGTATAGAATAATACTTAACAGCCTAATTACTGGATATCCCATTAGGTGCAGAACCTAGTGTCCAGAAGTCCAGTGGAGGCCGAAGCGCATCCGGTCGTGTCCATCCTGTTCTCGGACATCGTAAACTTCACCGGGATCTGCGAGAGGGTGGAGCCCATGGACATCGTGCGCATGCTCAACAAGCTGTACACCAGCTTCGACGTGCTCAGCAAGCTGAACGAGCTCTACAAGGTCAGAAGCCCCCTAGCGGTTTGCTTTGGTACGACAGTCACAGGCAGTTTGGATTGTCACAGATCTGTGGGATGTCATCTCGTAATGTTTTGTCATCAGCTTGTTGAGTTTCATTTCTGTCAGTTCTATGGCCATTGACATCACTGTTATTGACACATAAAATTATACACTTGGCAAAAAAAAATTACAGTAGAAAAAGAAGACATTCTAGTATCCATTTTCCAATATTTTCTTTGCAATTGACGGCATACATTTCCATGTTTCTCCATTTTGCAGCCTCTTTGACTTTGTACGATTTACAGTGTGGTCGAACACTTTTTCCCTTTATTTTTCGTATCACAAATAAGTACTTAGCCGCTACCACCAGCCTACGGTACGGAACAAGCAAACTTTGTCCGTCAGTAACATCACATTTTTGCCTCACAGATATCAGTATGCTATGGGGTAGGGTTATTTCAACTTACTACTTTAAAAAAAATGACCGGAAAATTGAAAATTCAGATTTACTGTCCTGAAATCGACTTGGGTGCCTTTAACTGTTACTAACTCCACGCCTGACAGGTTTGCAGACAGAGTGGGTGGAAAATGTCGTCAGCAAAATGACTCGGTAGTGCGCGGCGTACATGTTAACTACATAACAAGCCTTGCGGATCATTTAGAATGACATACACAAGAAAATTGTTACTCAAGCAACCGAATACAATTGACAGTTTTCAAAATCTATTCAGTTGCTTCAGTAACTTGCTTTTCTTGCGTATCTCATTATCTGGATGTCTAACCTTCACCGACGTATCTAGAACGACAGAAACGCCAAATTGAATCGTTTGCCCCGTAGAAGTTTTGGCACATGAACAGCGGGTGAGAATATAAGACTTAGTTGAACGTCGTCTCGAATTTTTCGCCAGGCCTGTTTGCGTTGGCGGGCTGACGCACAGAGACATATGTGGTAGAAATAATTGCGGCTCGCAAAGTAGTGACATGGGGAAAACGTCCAAAGCAATATGGTGCTATCAAGCAATACTAAATTGAATCAATCCGTATTGCAAATCAAAATGTCTTTATACTTCTTTCTCAAGTTTGCTCAACATACCTACTACAGAAAGAGGTATGAAAGAAGCTACAATATTGTCCAAGTGGACTCAATGTACCAAGGTGTGTCAAGAGCGGCGCCTAGTGGTACAGGAAATATGTGCACACAGTAGTGACGGTTTTCTTCTGATTCTTTCTGTATCCAGAACAGTGCTTTATGTATAACCATTCTCTGGCACGGTTCTGGATAGTCCACGCGTATCCAGAACCGTGCATGGGGCAAATATACGTTCTTGGCTACGCGGAGGCTATCCAGAACCGATCCTAACCCTAAACCATTCAGACGTAGAACTAGATAGGCACGGTTAAGGATATGACAGAAACTATTCAGAACTGTGCCTGATCCTGATCCTAACCCTAACCCATTCAGGCATAGAACTAGGCATGCTCGGTTCTGGATACAATGATACTGTATGCCATAGGTAGAGACTATCGGCAATGCCTACATGGTAGCGGGAGGGATCCCTGTGCAGGTGTGTCAAGAGCGCCCCCTCGCGGAACAAAACATAAATGTACACAGTAACGACGTTTTCTTCTGATGCTGTACCCTATAGGTGGAAACTATCGGCGACGCCTACATGGTGGCGGGTGGGATCCCTGTGCAGGTGGAGGACCGTGTGATGGTAGTACCAGGGACAGCGTGTCATAGAGGTTTAACGTTATTGCCGGGACAGTGTTTGGTAATAGCACTAAAGTTGACCTACTTGAGTACGTCGTGGGTCACTCCTCCTCTGCCACCATGGCAGCCCAGTAGCTCCTGTCCTGCATAGCCCTCTGTAGAAAAACAATGATGGTAGCAGCACAGTTTTAGTTTAAGGAACCTACACAGTGCACACAGTAACGGCGTTTTCTTCTGATGCTGTACCCTATAGGTTGAAACTATCGGTGATGCGTACATGGTGGCTGGAGGGATCCCGGTGCAGGTAGACGATCACGCCGACAGAGTTCTCGCCATGGCCATGGGGATGATGGACGTCTCTAAAACATTCAGGACACCGGACGGGGACGAGCCTATATACGTAAGTACATGGCTCGAAATAACATCATATGCAGGTTTGTGCAGTTTTAGTTTGATCCGTACTTCCTAAATTCTGAGTGGTACAGGTATATTTGTCTGGTGCAGGTAATATTCAATGTTACCAGCAATAGTCCATCATTTCAAGCCCTGCATCTCTTATACCAAAAGGTTTCACATACACAGACGTTCACAGACTACCATTAGAACAAGAAAACAGAGACCACATCCACCCCATCCATTGACACACCAAACAATACTTCTTTCCCGAAGTATAATGTACACTTTCGGAAAGCTTGTCTACCCTGTTTCAGATCCGTGCATGGCCGGCGTGGTGGGCTCCTCCATGCCTCGGTACTGTACCTACCAGCCAATGCACACCGGTTTACAACCCTGTCAATCAACTGAAACCAAATCTCCACCCGCTCATTAAAGCTTGTCTGTGTGAATTCTTTCAGATCCGAGTCGGTATCCACTCTGGACCGTGCATGGCCGGCGTGGTTGGCACGTCCATGCCCCGGTACTGTCTGTTCGGGAACACCGTCAGTCTGGCCAGCAAGATGGAGAGCTGTAGTCAACCCGGCAGGACCAACATCAGCGATGCAACCAAAATGTACGTCTCTTACAGATCGATCTGGCTAATTTATACGGAAATGAACCTAAATACAACAGAAAACGTCGAAAGCAGCAGAAACCAATCAAAAACACCACCAAACAATTTTCCGAGCACAAAATAATACTACTTGTGGATTTGTACCTGCATGCTACAGGTTCAACTTATGGTATGTTTATATTGTAAGGTTGTGATAGATTTTCTTGTCCTGGAGAGCGATGCAACCAAAATGTACGTCTCTATCTGATCGGCCTGGGTTTTCTACCGATTTATACCAAAAACGATTTTGTAATCTGAAAACTACAGAAAACGTCAAAAGCAACAGAATTCGAAACCAAAGCAAAAACACTCGAAAACAATTTTTGTAAACCCAATATTACAAACCGAAAACATCCGATAAATCTGATTAATAACCAAACCTTAAACTACTTTAAAAAGTGTTGTCCTTTTCAGGTAGCCTTATTTGCAATACCAAAGTGAACCTTTGGTATTGATTGACTAAATCAAGCCTATTCCAATCTGCTTCGGGTCTGACCTGCCACTTGTATGTACTTATACCTGCATGGTAAAACATTTAGTTTAATAAGTTTGTATTTCAAGCTTTTCACTCATTTTCCTTGTATTTTAGGTGTCTCCTTAAAGGCAGCTATATATTTGAAGAAAACATGTCCTCGAGTCTTCCAATACGGAGTTACTTCGTGCAGGCGTCATGCCGGACGCCAAAGTCCCCGACCAGTCCGAAGAGCCCACTAGCGGCGAGCAAAGGACTGTTCCTGACGCCACAACCCTCCCCGTGCGTCACACCGGAGACTACGCCGCTACAGAGCCCGTGTCTCAGCAGGAGGAACTCGGAGTTGTTTGACATAACAGCAGCAGTCGAGGTATATGTTTTCTACACTGTGATAGTGGAGTAGAGCACGGGACAGGGGCAGAAGGTGTATGTACTTTTAAGAATCAGGTGTGTGGTGGTAGGACCAGGAAGGTGTGTAGCGGTAGTTAGGCACTAGGGACAGTGGCGGTATCTCAGTTTGTACGCATCAATAAAGAATCAGACACAGTGTGTAATGGTAGTTCATCAGCACCAGAGAAAGTGTGTGATGGTAGTTTAGTGCCAGGTAGGGTATGGGTTGGTAGTTCAGCACCAGGGACAGTACTAGTATGTGATGGTAGTTCAGTGGCGAGTAAAGGACTGTTCCTGACACCTCACATCAAACTACGCCGCTCCAGAGCCCCTGTCTCAGCAGGAGGAACTCGGAGTTGTTTGACATAACAGCAGCAGTCGAGGTTAACGTTACACACTGTATATGTTTTATGACACTGTGATAATAGAGTAGAACACGGGACAGTGCCCGGTAGTGTCCAATATACCAAGGACAGTGTGATAGAGGTTTAGTGCCGTTGACAGCGTTTGCTAGTGGCAAAGTTTTATATATGGAACCCATATACGTATATTCGTCGTTAATTCTGGTACATGTCCTCTTTTTAGGGCCTTTCCTTGAAGACAACCAATCCGGAAGAAGGGACGAGGCAGGACATGGTTGACCGGAAGTGCACGTTCTATTCCAAGATGGCGGAACAGCTCCGCCGGAAGTTGCTACGGGTGGAGCTGGGAAGCCCCCGGAAGAAGCTAACACATCTGAAGAGAGGTCGAAGTTCAAGTCTACACGCGAAGGACAAGAGGTTTTCTCGCAGCCTTTCGAACCTCGGTAAACTGTGGGAAGGTAAAGAGTGACCTTGAATGTCCTTGAGACAAAGATAAACTCTCATGCAATTCTGACCAAGCTTGTCTTCCCAAGAGGTGCCATTAGAAAACTATAACTGGAGATTTCAGTGTGATTTTATCAACCTTTTTTCAGCCAGTGGAAGCCAGGAAAATTATACAATGTCAATAACTAGCACAGCACCGATAACATAAAATCTGCTAGTTATTTTTAAATGACGAAACCACTGACTATACAGTGAAATGACATGCAGTTTGCTAGTCTGGAAAGCACAATGTTGAACCTTGTGTTGTATTACATCGTCCCCACTGTTTTGTTGCTGTATGCAATACAGACCAGTCTAACGTCAATCGACCACTATGTTGTACAGCAGAGTATGTTACCATGCATGTGGTCTACAATTGCGGAAATGATGTGAACGGTTCAAAACGTTGTAGAAGAATCGACATGTACATGTTTGCTGTTTGGCAGAGCCTCTATCACACATAGCCCGTGACGGCCTCCCGACCTTCTCCAGACCATGGTTGGGAGTCTGTGGTGAGCATCTCGATATTTGTGGTTGGATGTTGGTTGGTTGGCGAGGTTGTCTGCTAGTCTTTAAAAGTTGTCTGACTATGAAGGTTTACAAATCAATCTCGAGAAAGTCATATACTTTATTTTTAGTCAAATGCGACAAGAGCATGTAGGAGGTAGAAAAGGATGGATTTCAGGCTACTCTCAACCCAGCCCCGACCTTCAAGGTTGGGAGTTGATCGGGAATGGAGTCGTGCGAAGGTCCTGAGTGTGACATGGGCTTAACGCAGGTTCTATACGTGTTCCCAGGACCTCCGGTGGCCTCAGCCTTTTCATACAATACCACGTATCAATCACCAACTGCACAGCCTACTTCACAAAACGTATACGATATTTCTTTGTACATTTGTCTTTGTACATGCTGTATAGGCGAAGATGCTATCTATTTTGTGTTATCATGTATACTTGATAATGTGAGCGTACGTTGGAATAAAACATGCCGTTATCTTTTACTGAAAATATCGGTTCGCCTCTGTGTACTATTCCCAACTGTCAGACCAGCTCCATTAAAGTGTCAATCATGGCATGATAAACCTCCTCTGTTCATCACAACACAGATGCGATACTACCTCTTAGGCCATTGCAAGTAATTTTTATGGATGGCATCAGCGCGTGCATTGATTTTCGCCTGATTTTGGAGAGAAAAAACAACAAGAAAGTTTGTTGTCCTTTGAAAGTGGTCAAAAATGCCGAAAATGGTCAAAGATGTCTGTTAGCACAATATAGGAAACGTTATAATTTCTTGTTACCAAGGTTTATGATGTAAAAATAATTTGAAAATGTAGGAATCTTGTTTTCTTTGGTCTGCCTTGTTCTTTTCGCCCTATAGTATTAGATTTGGAGTCTGCGGAGGATGCCATCCATAAAATTAACTTGCTGTGGCCTTATTGCAGAGGCGGAAGCGCAAAGAATCACCAGAATGGACTCCCACATGTGACCCGGGTCCATATCTCTACACAAAAGAAGGCTTTCAACATGCCCAAATAAGACACGTTCTGTTAACGCCGTGATGCCGTAGTTATAAATAGATTTTGACTCAAATCGATCCAACACGTTTGTATGCTGAATATCTGATTAAAAAAACTCCGTAGCAAATATGCTATGATACATGCACCTCTATGAAAAAAGTGAGTGAAACTTTTAGATGATATAGCAACAAGGACGATTGAAAACGATTAGTTGCTAACCTAACATTACTAAGGTGTCGCCATTTTTGTATTGAAAACAAACAGAAATCCATCTAGCAATTAGCATCAACAGAAAGCTGACACGGTGAAAAACAACAAGAGTAAATAGAGCAAAATTGCCGACGTGTTATTATATAATAGATACCGGCGACACAAGATGAATTACCGTCGGAAACTGCCGTAATCCAGTCATCTGTCATCCCAGCCATGACGGTGTCTTCTCATATCATAGCCTCCATAGCATGCCAAAAACTGGGGGTTTGGGGGGTCTTCAGGGTCTTTGGGAGCTTTTATGTGCTATTTTCTGATTTCATATAGACAACATAGCCGGCCTGATTGAATTACCCCCGTTTTTTTTAACTGGGCTATTAGTATTATATAAATCAGAAAACAGCCGAAGACCACCAAACCCCAGTTTCATAAGCCTGCTACGGAGGCTAGTCTTCTCACCGGTAATGTTGCTGGTGCAGGCATCTCTGCTGACAATAACAGATAGGTGTGAGGTAACCACACATAGATCATACATTCACAGGGTTTTAGCTGCCAGAAATTTGACCTAGACCTGGAAACATTTTAGAGACATTTCCTCTGATGCAAGTGTTATCATCGTCATCATGGCATCTATGATTATCATGGCATTTATGTTTATTAGGAATCTCCATTAGTAATGCAATGTTTGTTTACTAGTCTTCCTGGAGTCCTTTAACATTATATTTAAAAGATGAAATATAATCCATTACAAAGTTAACTTAATAGCTACAATTACAACATGTATATACAACAACATCAGCTTAAATAACAGTATAACAACAACTATCTTAACACAAATCTACACGTAGGCCTACTTACTTATACATACAACAATGATATAATTTTGGACACTAGCTCTAAGGATCTTAACAAATAGCTGTAGAGAAACACATAGATCATCAATTCATAGGTCTTTAGCCAGCTGTAAATCTGGCCTAGACCTATTAGAAACACACATTTGTTCTGATGCAAGGTTTATAAGTGTCATGGCGACCTTTATATAACTTTGGGACACTAGCGCTAAGGATCTTAACAAATAGCTATTGGGAAGCCACATGCATCATCCGTTCATGGGGTTAATGTTTTAGCGAGCGATAAATTTCACACAGACCTAGAAGGAATTCGAATATACATTATTCCTAATGCAAGGATGGCATCTATGATTTATGATTAAGGGGAAGTAGCCTTAAGGGTCTTGCGAAATAGCTGTAAGGTAACCACGCATTGACTTAGACTGAGTAGAAAGAGATATATTTGCTCTAATGCAAGGTTTATAAGTGTCATGGCATCCATGATATAATTTGGGGACATTAGCTCTAAGGATTTTAACAAATAGCTGTAGGGAAACCACGCGTATATCATCCGTTCATAGGGTTTTAGCGAGCTATAAATTTCACACAGACCTAGAAGGAATTCGAATATACATTATTCCTAATGCAAGGATGGCATCTATGATTTATGATTAAGGGGAAGTAGCCTTAAGGGTCTTGCGAAATAGCTGTAAGGTAACCACGCATTGACTTAGACTGAGTAGAAAGAGATATATTTGCTCTGATGCAAGGTTTATAAGTGTCATGGCATCCATTATATAATTTGGGGACACTAGCTCTAAGGATTTTAACAAATAGCTCTAGGTAACCCAAAATATATCATCTGCTCACAAGGTTTTAGCGAGCTATAAATTTCCCCAAGACCTAGCAGGAATTCAAATATACATTATTCCTAGTGAAAGATTGGCATCTATGATTTATAATTGAGGGGAACTAGCCTTAAGGGTCTTACGAAATAGCTGTAAGTTAACCACACGTATATCATTCATTCATAGAGTTGTATGTTTGACCTAGACCAAGTAGGAAGATACGTTTGTTCTGATGCAACAAAGTGTTATGGAATCGGTGATATAATTAAGGGGAACTATCCTTAAGGACGTAACAGATAGCTATAAG